GATTTGCATAATCTGGAAAATTTTGTATTCTCCTGTGTTTCATTACATTACAGTTTTGATTTTTTCTTTCCTGTTGAAGTGGAAAAATACTTTCTCTAGCTTGATGGGCTCCTCCCCACACTTTCGAAAAAAAGAAATTCGGATGTGGAAATTGCCAGCTCTCCTGCAGCAAAGCTAATCTGAATTTTAATCTTCTATTGTATTACTTTATTAATGTTCCAAATTGATGGCCAATTCAGTTATTCACAAATATTATTTAGAGTACTGAACCATCACTAAGTCCAATTGAGAAGTCTGCAGCAACTGTTTATGAGCGATCAATTTAGTTGACATTTCTCTCTAAAGTATAATGGTTTTAATCATCTAGTTTATGATCACACAAATAACTTGCTGAATTTTCATATTTATTCATGACAATAAGAAGTTGATAAGGAGGCAGGGCAACCCCAAATGAATTCCATGCTCTGTATTGATTGTATGTAGCTTTTTGAACACTCATATATTCCTAGAAGCGAAAAAAGACATGGTTTGGGACATTTGGTCACCTCGCAAAATCCACAGCTTCAAGTTACCTATACAAAGCCAGACAGACAGAGGGGAAAAGAATTAGACTTCAAAGTGTAGGCTCAAACTTGGAATTCCATCACCCAGGATGAGGGCCCAAATCACGTGACACCACACCTTCACATTCATGCACTTTCCAGCTGTTTAGTTTAATGAATAATGGGTAATGACAGGCAAGGTGGGGCACCAGGAACCTAGAGTCTCTCTTTAGCATGTTCTTGATATCTAGGAAAAGTGAAGGTGAATGAGGCAAAGCAGGGTTTTGAATATGAGGATCACATGTCTTCCTCTATTAGAGTTGAGTGAAAAGGGGCTGCAAAGTGGGACCACCTCTTTTTCATTTAGCTTTGGGGTTCGTGAGGGCCAGGTCCCAGCATCTCTCTAGCAGACCTCACTGGCAAGACAGGTCATTCACTAGTGAGTGAATCCCAAAGGATCTTTAGACAACCAGTACATGCATTACATAGTGCTGGACAAGCCCCCCAGAAAAGACCTGTTAGGCATTAGGAAGCTTTATGGATGAAAATTAATTGTAGTAGGGGTCTAAGGCAGCAGCAGCTCAGAGGATTCAGATTTTCAACATAAGTAGAAGTCTCTATCTGAGTCCTTTCATAGATCTGTGCCTCATTTGTTTTGTTCTACAGAATACTACTTGACACTTCATTTTGGGGAAAATAAAAGACCCTATCTCAAGTGGCTAATATAATATTCTAAATGATGGATACTTCACAGTATAAATGCAAAATCTAGACATAGAGAAAATAGCAGTGACTTTATAATGTTTATTATCAGAGCAGTATCACATAGAACACAGAGAAAAAGGTCCCATATTCTAAGGGACAAAAACTTCCCTTAAGAACTTACAATACACATAAAAAACAAGATAACAAGATTAGAAAAAGCATATGAAATAAAATTACTTTGCAGGTGTATTTTAAATTTAACATTTTTCAAAGCCACATTGGAAATTAGAGTTACACTGATTTGCAACTCAACTTCTATTTCCTTTATGCAGACTTGAAGATCTCAGCACTGATATGCTAAAAAAAAAAAAAAGTTCTAGATTAGTAAAAATGTACAAAGTAAACAAGTTGATTTCACAGTCAGGAATTGGAAAGATGAAAGTACCATCCTACTAAACAGATTCAGGGCTCCTAATATTGTTTACTTGATTTGTGACAATAGCCTACTCTGTCAACAGTGAGCACTGGGTTGGGAATGCATTCTAGTGGCACAGGAACATTCTGGAGGAAATTCAGAATCACTGACAGCTTGACTTATTGACAACTTTTTAACAGATATTTCAATAACATTTTTTAACATGTATATTAAATGGATTGTTGGAGATGAATAAAGCAATCAGATTTGCTGAATCTTGGTGGGTGTAAACTTGCTAAAAATAACCTAAATATATCAGATGAAATGACAGTGGCCCTAAAAATCAATAAAACTTTTTTTTTTTTTCCCAATTCCTCTCTATAATAGCAATAGGGGCATCGGTGAGGGTGTTTCCTTGGGATTAGTGCCCTGCTGTCACTGCAGTATGCTTTCCTCACTGGATTGCCATTAAGAACAGTTACACTGTACAGTACTGAATGGTGTTTAATATCACTGCCACTGCAAGCTCAGGTGTCCAGCTGAGATCCAACTTTTCAATACATAGCAGAAAAGTCACACTACATCATCAACTAGTACTCTAAAAAGAGCTGTTATTAACATTTCTCATAGATAAATTGCTTTATTGTTTCAATTTGACTATATATTAGACCGTGTCACCTGAATAATATCTGTCACTGAAGATGATGATAAAGCTAGAGTGATGTTTTTGAATAATAAAAAATAACAATCTGGAATACACAGGGTTAGGGCCTGATCTCAGTTTTACCAGTCTAAAATGCAGAGTAACTCCTGTGATTTACAACTAGAACTAGTAGTTCTAATCTGTAAGAATGAGAACAGGATCTGATGTGCAGGTTAACAGCAATTTTGTTTAAAATGTAAATTTAAAAAATACTAAACATGTAACATACTCAGTTTGTGATATATCTAGAGAAATACAATAAATTCCCTTTTTTTTAGTGGATGTGTGAGTATATCCTGTATTACAATTAATTTATTAAATTATTTCCCTGAGAGCAAACTCTCTGCTGGTATAACCTGCCATAGTTCTGTGAATTTTACAAACACCAGAGAATTTATTCTGAGTCAGAACTGCCCTTTAATTTTTATTTTTCAAATTGGCCACCAGATGAACTATTTACATTGTTTGGAGATGACAAAAAATTTTTGAAATGACTAGAAAATTATAACTGAAAATTAAATAAAATATTTCTTGTTCAAAGTTATTTAAAGTTATTTCAAAGTTATTGTACAGTTAAAGTGAACCAGGGAGTTGCATTTCATATGGTTGCATCTCGTAAGAAATCACAGATGATTAGTGATCACTTTAATATATTACCTTCATTAAAAATATACAGCTTTTAAAGAAAAGATAAACCTCTGTGTTTTAAAGATAATTTACAGCAGGAAGTTATTTCTGTGCATGTTTTCATGTGTGTTGGAGGAGGTACAAGTACAGATTCTTGTGTTTTATTTAAACCAATATATATCTGCGCTTAACTGGGTTTATATTTGAAAAATTGGACCTTTGCCATTGTAGCATTACCAAAATAAAAAAAAAAAAAAAAAAAAAAAAAGCATAATAATCTGAGTGTGCTGTTCACTTTGCTGGATGAGGGTTAACATCTCAGTGATTAAACCAGAAGCTCTGATTAGTCCAATCTTCAGTTTTATTTCCCTTTTCAGTGCCTTCAAGAATTGAATGGTATGTGAACTGAGACTGGGTTCTGTACGTTTTCTACTGTACTAAACTTTATGGCAAATTTAGATCTCCTATGTCAGTGAAAGACTCCTGAATCCAAGTTCATCTGCAACTTTGTACAGACAGTAAGCAGAAACATTCTGAAAATATTTAGTAATATAAAAAACAATGCTAAAGACCAGGATGATGCCTATACTGGAATTTAAAGAATTACCATGACTAAATTTGCCAAAACTTAAGTTTATTTATTTTAAAATATTTTTAACTGTGTCAGAAGAGCATCTCTGGTCAAAACTGCAGTCAGGTTTGGGCAGTTATTTCTAAAAGGCATGCATATATCTACTTCCATTACAGTTGACTTTTGAGACCATTGCAAATCAAGATAGCAGCACCACAGCAAGTTTTTGAAGAACTCATTCCTTAAAGAAGACGTATTTGTGCTAGGAATAAAAAGACCAACTTCACTGCAGGGTCTTGAATCATTATTCTTTGGGAATGGAGAGAAAGTGAGCTCCTCAATCGAGAAGACCCACAGCTGTACAAATTATTTTACAATTGGTGGACTGGTGGATGATTGCTAGGCAGGTTTTGTAAATTCATACACAAATACTTGGGACTATTGGGGAATTCTTTGGTGACCTATCTGCTTCCCTCTTAATGTGATAAGGTTATTACAGAAAATCTACAGCTTGGTAAGGTCTCTGAAAAGATCTTGTAATTAATTTGGGTTGGTTGTTTAGTAGCACTTCATGTGTCACTCAGATTTTCTGTACTTTGGTAACTTCGGAAACATCTTAGGAGTATAGCTGAGAGCAAAATGTAGCTCAATATGTCAACGCATGTAGCTCTCTTTAAATGATTTTTTTTTAAAGTGTATATTCAGAAGAGCACAGTTGTCAATTCCTGTGTTGTATTGATGGAAAAGGTATTGAATGCAATGCGGTTTTGTATTAATTAGATTGTAAAACATCTACTACAGGTTCTAACAACAAGTGAATGCCTAAGATTCTTGTTAGAATACACATCTCACATAGCATTATCTAGTTATATAAACCAATGATAACATTTCCTGTGAAACCAGGGAGCATTTTGAAGTGTGACTTTGTTGCCTCACTGTCATTGTGAGTTGTTAAGTATCTGTCTCATTTGGAGACCTTATCTGGAACTTTGAATAAAGCTAACATTTAAAAGCTGATAGAATAAAACAATTAATTTAGAAATGTTAGAGCAAGCCACAGAGCTGATAGTAGAACTGGCGTTGTTTAAATATTCTATAACATTAGACAAATTAGTTTTAATAATGTCTTCTTAGCTTACGTTATCTTTCCTTCTGAAAAAAATGAACAGCTAAAAGCAGTGTCCTTTGTTACCAGCAGATGACAATTATTCAGAAAAGTCTTTGCTTTGGAATTGTCTTTGACATTTCAATATAATACTTGAACTGTTGAACAGAAAATGGAATTTTTATATTATATGATAGCAGTGTATGTTCAGTATTCATGGGATACATTTATTTAAAAGAAACTGCACAGAATAAGAACCTGCTTAGTACTGTAAATTAAGCATCAGTGTTATATACTCTGTCTGAATGCCCATCTTATCTTTTCCCTGACAGGTTGATAATGTATGGGTTTGTGAAGGCAATGGTACACATTGGCCAGTTAAAAGGATGGGAATTCCACTTCACTGACTGTTTATTTTTTGGATCGCTGATGTCTGCCACAGATCCAGGTAATTTTAAAATAAATTACTTTTTCAAAAGTCAGAAGAGGAAATAAGAACATATCAACTGCATGTCCCATAGAAACACTCAAAGTCTCTGTGCTTGATTTTCTTTTCCCTTAGCCATTAACTGTCTGAAACTCTGATAATCACAAGTCAAACTGGCTCTGGAGATCCCTTGTGTTTATTCCAGTAACTGGTTTACCTATGTTTAGCTCACAAACTTTATAAATTAATTTACTGGGGAGATTGGAAAAATGTTGTTCTCCAGTCTTCAGGACATCTACCTGTTCATTGCTGATATGAGAACTGCTGTAATGCTGGAGCCTCATGGTTAACAATTAGACATTGCATTCATGTGTGATCTAACCCAGTGTAAATATATGGGGAACACAGCTTTATGATTTGGCCATATAAATAGTCAAATATTCAAATTTACAATTTGAATGCAGTGTTTTGTGATAAATGCAACTCTAAAAAGACAGGTACCAACAAGTTGACTTGAATTTGCAGATGTGAACCTAAAGTTACAGTAAACAGCCAAGTCTAGGAAACAAGCTCATTGAATTTTGGAATCACAGAAATACAGAATCATCTAGATCTGACAGGATGTCTGGGAGGCCTTCTAGTCCAACCTCCTAATCAAAACAAAGTTATTCTAGGTTTCATAGACTTGTCCAAGTTTTGTTACGTTGAAAAGGGTAATAAGAGTACTCTGATATTAAAAGGAAAGTATTGCTTTTTGCATCTGTGGGACAATAGTGAAATTGCTTACAGAATGAAAGCTTGCTTACAGCTTCCAAGTACGATTCTTGAACAATCAATGAAAACTATGCATAGAGTTTTGCACTTGGCTTAATTTCTTTTCCTATTTTCCAGTCCAACACTATTTTGTTTGACAATTGAATGTGTTGACTTATGAGGAGAAATATATAAGACAAATGCACTGATTTTGATTATAATAGTATAATATCACACTGATTAATGTGGAACAATTGTGAGGGGAAAAAAAAAAAAGAGAATCTCCTCTCGCACTGGAAGGAATAAGTGACAAGGATTACTTTTCCCAGATTTTTAAATAGGCTTAAAAAACTAACACTGCAGTTGAGAAAACTACTTTCAGTGTGACAAACTATAGTTGATTAATACTGTTTGTAATTAATGTTCTGCTTATATATAGTGTCTGTGCATGTCCAGGAGTTTTTTTAATGTTCAGTCTTGCTCTCTTTGTCATCTATTCACAAAATTCTAGGTTGTTTCATGTTTTTAATAATGTTATCTGTAAATTTCAGTCCCTCAAAGACTTAAGACATTTTTGAATGAAATTTTTGCTTAAGTAAATGGTAAACATTGCCGAAAAAAATTCATTGTGTTACAGTATTTACTAGTGAATAATAATCTCAAGCCATGTAAAGAGCTCATTGGAATTCCAAAATCAGTTAAAAAATAGTCCCATGGAGGACCAATACATACCAGGGCATAAAATAATGTCTAATGATTTCATATGTGATATCTAGCTTAAAAAAAAAAAAAAAAAAAAATCTCTGGTAAAATTTTAGTGTTATAGAAGTAGGATAGAATAATAAATTTCTGTCCTGAGATTAAATAATAAATTCCTGTCATATTTGCTACCTGTTCTTCCATTTAATTCTTCACTGTGAAGGATTATAAGCTCATTGCAAAAAATTAATTTCCCTTGGTGTAGAAGCAATTAAGTCTCAAAAGATGTTAAAAACTGATATGTTGACTTGACAGAAGTTGTTTTGATTGAGTTCCTTATTTGTAATAATAAAGATGACTGGTAGATGTTTGTATGCTAAATGAAGAATTTTACTGCCAGGGCAGTAAACAAATGTATGCCAGCTAAAAGTTGCTAATATTGTTAAGAAGGAGGAAATAATATTATAGAACTCCGTAGGTTTTAGTTTTGAAGGGTATTTGAAGATATTTAATACAGAGATTTTTGCATAAAATTGGTTCAGAATTGCTCTTTTATGCCATGGGTTCCTTTATATAGCAAACTAGCACTTGAACTAAGATTAGGAAATGGATTTATTACTGGACATACTTGGGACTGTTTTGCATTATAGATTTCATCTATAAACATCTGTGATACTTAGGGATCCCTCAAAAAACTTGCACATCTCTAGACAGAAAAGGTAGAAACTTTAGGGACAAATAAAGGTTACTTTAAAGTGAATCATTCATTTTACAGGAAATATCTCCTTCCAATAATTTATCATTTCTAGCAGAAAAAGTTTCTCAGTTCAAGACTTCAGGTGAGAGGTTTGATTTCTAAGACATAGAATTTTTAAATTCCTGAATTTCATCTTCATTAGTCTTTGATTTAAAACATCAGACCAGTATTTATATTTTCCTTTATTCTGATCAATAAACATTGTTTATCATGTAGTTGGGGAAATCATCTCTTCTTGTTATTTCATCTGCATAAAACAGCACAGATTTCAACTGTTTCATTGTTGAAAGGATTTCCCTTGTGTTAGTACTGTGTTTTGATTTCTAATTTAACCTGACTCTGGAGGTTTTTTGGTGTGATCCCTTCAAAGGGGATGGAGCTGTTCCTCCCTGTTTTCTGGTACACTTGTCACTCATCAAGAGCAGCAAAGAGACTGAGGAAAAGGTGCTGATTTGGGGAGTGGAGCCCCCAGCTCTCAGTCCGTGAGCATCAGAGACCTGCAAAATCAAACTGCCTCACGTCTGTGAAACTGTCCTCTGTGGCTGAAAGGCAGGCACAGCAATAAGCCCCAGCAATAGGCTGCTTCTGGGTACCAGTGGTTATAATGGAATAAGGTGAATGACAGAACAAAACTGGAACATGAACAAAAAGATTTGACCTCTGCCTCAGCCACCAAAAAATAACTGGAAAGTACAACTTTGGCAGTTTGTCTTAGCTGTTGTTATTAACACATTTTGTGCAATGTCTTTTTTTTTTTTTTTTTTTTAACTTTTGACATTTCAAGCATAGAAAACAGATTTACCTTCACAAGGTTTGCTGAAGCTATTTCTAAGCTATATGAACTGCTTTACCTTTGGTCATATTGATAATCACAAGGCTCTTCTCTATTTGAAGTTACTATGGTTACAGCTGAACTGGAGATGTGAGTTGCACTGCTGCTGTTATTGATAAAATTGGATATTTATCAGAAAAAGCACTTTTTGTTTCTCATAAATTCAAAATTTTTGCATTAAGAAGCATAATTTATAAATACAGCACGGTAATACAGTCTATATACTGATTATATGTCTGTTCATAGATGTGTTTTTAATTAATATATTTTTATGCTTTCTTCTTACCATTGAAGTAATATGTGAGTGACTTGACCAATTAGTAGGGAAAGGAGACTATAATTAAAATTTGGATTGTTATTTTTTAGAGAAAAATAGGTAGGAATTGTGAGATTTCTTTCATCTTCTTTTATTCCCATTTGATACTGCCCTCCTAAAAGAATTTAGGCCCATGAGCTATGAAAGTTATTAATAGTTCTAGTCAGAAGACTGAGGTACAGTAATACCAGTCCTTTATATAAAGGTCTAATTTATTCTCTGAGTCTTCTTTTCAAACATAACAGCAAAGAAGTATTAGATACAGTTAGCTTAGGGATTGTTGTAGTTTGCTGATATTCCAGTTACTTTTACAGGAATTAATAACAAGCCAATTTGTTTCTACATACATCAAAAGATATCTTTCACAAACCAGCTCCACAGACACTTGGTCTGACTTGGGTACAACCAAAATCATGCTAAGCTTAGCATCAGATGGATGTTACCTCAGTCCATGAAGTCAAGGAAGAAATGAATCAGATTTCTGTTGGCACAAGTACTGTGAAAATCTTAGATGCTTCACTACTGCATGCTTCCCATCACTGAATTTTTTAATGAAGCTCACAACTGAGTGAGGAGCTCTGATACTTGTCATTTCTAGTTGTATCAGTTTTCTTCTGCCACAAAAGATGTTTGTTTACTGTCCCCCAATTACCTGTCCTTCTAGCCATCTAGCTTACCTATCTCTATCCTCGTATGCCTAGACTGAAATAAAAGATGAAGAGATGCTGTGTGAAAAGTAGTTTGGTATTTTTATAATACATATTGTATCTAATGAATTATACAAGTCTGAGTAGATACCACACAAAAACCAAACCCTACTTACTGTTTCTCAAAAGTGCCTTCAGAAAGACATTCAGAAATTACTTACTGCAATGTAGTATCTATGGTCTTTCTTTAGATATGCAAGTTCTCACAGATTAGATATGTTACTGTGGTATATGATAGCAAATACCAAATGTTTAAATTTGTTCCCTTGAGTTTTTAAAGTCATCAAACAAAACATGATATCATGCTTTGGACAATGGTGACTATTCATAGAGTAATATTCTATCCTGAGAGTAATTTAAATTAACTGTCTTCCATAGCAGAGTATCACATCCCTTTTGATATACCCATTCTGAACTATGTCCGTAGATTCTCTCATAGTTAATGAAGGCAAATGTGATCTTGAGAAAATGACCAGATGGTGGTTGGCAAAACAAGGTGAAAATGTTTTATTGACCTCTTATATGGGGTGGATGTGCTAAAAATAATGCAGTTCTCTGTTCTTATGCATATACTATTTTAACGAGTTGGCTAATGCAATAGAGATGCTTCTTTAATGTATAATACTATGCTGAGAGGAGACTGCAAACACTCTGAAGGACATGATTAGAACTCAGTATGATTCTTACAATAATTTAAAATCAACAAGGATAAATCTTACACTTAGAAATAATCAACTTCATAGATAGAAGATAAGAAATGAGCATTCACTGCTGAAAAGGATTTCGTTTACAACCTGCAAATGAGTCATCAGTACCAATACATAGCAAAAATATGAAAACAGAATTTATTAACATGTTGTACAGCATCTTTTCACTCTATTTCTTGACAGCAAGTGTCAACTACAGTACTTGGATCTGATTTGGGCACTGTATTTCAAGAAAGATGGACTAATTAGAAGTGATTAGAGGGCTAGAAAACATCACTGAAAGGAGGAGATTGAAAGAAGTGAGTCAGTTTAGGGAGGAGATGTCTGAAATGAGTCTTTGAATAGGCAAAATGTGGCTGGAAAGAGAAAGGGAATAAATGTGACAAGTTATTTGTGTCTCATTAGGCTGGGAAGGGAAATTACAGACTTGAAAAGCTGAAGGGGAGATTTAGGTTAGACACTCAGGAATAACTGCATTTATAGATTGTATGAATACTGAATAGCAAGTCAGTCTCCCTTGGGATTTATGGAACCAGCATCACTTCAGTACTTTAAAAACAGATCAGATAAAGATCTGTCAGCAGTGGTACGGCTGAAGATTGCTGTGTCCTGGGCCAGAGCAGAGACCAGAACTCTTGGGACAGGCAATGCTGTAAAGAAGAGCTGGTAACCTCCACTGGGAATGGGAGAAATGTTAAAAATTAAAGGTACTTTCTGAGAAAGGGGTGAACTGGGGAGTCTCTCCAAGAAGAGGTAATTGATACATTATTATGTTACCTGCTTTATTATTTTGCTTCCATTTGAAAAGATTTTAAGTCAGATTTTTGGGGTAGAGTTGGGAGAGAAAGCAAGAAGATAAAGCTGTTTTCTTAGGAGGCAAGAGGAGGGAGAGGAGTGTGTAGGCATCTGTGTAATTAGCTTGGCCTGCTACACATACATACCAACAGTGCATTGGACTTTGATTACTATTTTCCTTCTATCATTATCGCAGGAGCTATTAATGTAAGCCCAAACTAATTAGCTAATGAGCAAAAGCTGGAAGTGGCAAATAATTTTAGAAAACAAGTCTGTTGTTATGCCAGTGACATCAAAGAATGAGAGACTAAATTGGGTCTACATTTAACACATTAAGGCAGCATTGCTAATCAAGCAAAAACCTGAACATGGATATTGATGAACCAAGAAAATCTCCTTTGGCAATAAAACTTCTTCCTACACCTTTGAGCCGTTCTGAGGAAATAACTCTTTCCCTAGTTCAAATTATAACTGTGCTGGAAGTAGATGGGTGAGGTTACCAGAATGGATAAGTATAACTAGCTAATTTAAATATAGCTATATCAGCAAATGTTCAGCTACGCACATCCCCTAAATTGTCTTCTGTAGAATAACACTTCCAAAATTCTTCAGAGATACCACATCAACAGAGATCACTTTGACATAAAATCTCACAGGATAACTGAGAGTCTATTTTGGGTTTATAAACAGATTTTTATATTACACAGATATTAAAGTGCCATTTAGAAAATCTTATTAGTAATGATTTCAAAATTCCAAGAAATTTTTTTAACACTAAGCATGATAACCTGTTGATCTTTTTGTGTGAATTATCAGCAGTCATCTCAATGCAGAAGTATATAATTTTGATTTCTGAGTGTCAGATGTTAACATGGCATGCCAGAGGCACTCCTAATCTTTGGGATTCCTAGGCTATGAGAATTGAGTCAACTGCACAATTATGTACTAGAATGAGCACCAGTGAAGCAGTGAGTTACCATGTAATTTTTAACCGTACAAATAATTGGGTGCCTTTATATTAAATTCTGTTTGAAAAGAGAAAGCTCTGCTTTGTCCAAGCAAAGAGAGAATAATAATATCAATACAGAACATAGATAGCCTTCTTCAGTTGGAGATTATGAAGTGCCAGGTAGATCTTGGGAAGGACTGTGATCCCCTGTATACAGGTAAAGTAACTGAGTGTAAAACAGCTGTCTTTTAATATCTATAGGACTTAATTATCTGAATATGAGCCAAGTGTCTGTATGTCCTCAAGGATGTAAGTGTAAATTATTTGCCCAGCTTCAATTTAAATTAAACACACTCTATTTTTTTTCCATTGCACCAGTAAGCTAAAAATCAAATATAGCATATAACTCAGGGAGAAGGAAGGGACTTAATGATATGCTGAAGGATTCTTAAAATGGATTACAAGCATCAGATATCCTGATCTGGATGAGAGGGCTTCATGACTGCAGATATGCTACACTTGAGGTGAAAGTGGTTATGCTGCTGGAGGGACAGGGTATAAGGTTAGGCATGTTCCTCAACAAGCATGCATAACAGATGGATAAGCATTACCGTACCTTTCTTAAAACAGGTAAACTGCTACTCTCATCACACACAAAGTTCATGGCAAAACCTAAGTCTTTTCAGCCCCCTTCACATAATCACAGAATTATCTAGCTTGGAAAAGACCTTGAAGATCATCCAGTCCAACCATTAACCTCACACTGACAGTTCCCAACTACACCAGATCCCTCAGCGCTATGTCGACCCGACTCTTGAACCCCTCCACGGATGGGGACTCCACCACCTCTCTGGGCAGCCCATTCCAACGCCCAGCAACCCATTCTGGAAAGAAATGCTTCCTAATATCCAGTCTAAACCTTCCCTGGCGCAATTTGAGGCCATTGCCTCTTGTCCTATCGCTTATTACTTGGTTAAAGAGGCTCATCCCCAGCTCTCTGCACCCTCCTTTCAGGTAGCTGTAGAGGGCAATGAGGTCTCCCCTCAGCCTCCTCTTCTCCAGACTAAACACCTCCAGTTCCCTCAGCCACCTTACTTCTCCTTAGTCACAAGTTCCTTTACGCACAGTAAAATATGCTGTGACATTTTCATTTATGCATGATTCTCTGTGTGAAAGGGAAAGTGTCTTCCTAACTTAGCTGAAGCACCAAAACTCAGACTTGCTGGATTTAAGGATCTTAAATACTTCCACTGATTCCTTTTAACTTCACTATTAGCCACATAGGTAATAAATAGGACTGGACTTCTTAAAAGCCATATTCTAACATTGCTTTGTCTCTTGAATTCCAGAGGAATATGAAAATAACAAACTCACTTTGCTTTGTCTCCATACAGTGACAGTCCTTGCTATTTTCCATGAACTGCATGTGGATACAGATTTGTACACACTCCTGTTTGGAGAGAGTGTTCTAAATGATGCTGTGGCTATCGTGCTGACATAGTAAGTACATCCACCTCCATTCTTTACTTGGTGAGATAATTACAAGCTTTAATTGCTGATATAATTCTCACTGATATAGTTTTGCAAGTACAGATTCCATTACAGAGAGTTCTGGAGTTGTTCTTGGTTTGTTAAACACCAGAATTCCAATGCTGTTAATAGTAACTATGTATCCAGAATGCAATTTTGGTTCATTTTTTTCAACCTAAAAAGGCAGTATATTCTGCAAAATGTGTATATTTAATTTAATATGATTTATTTTCTCATCTAAACAAGATATCTTGAAAAAATAATGCTGAATAAGCACCTAGGATATAGAGCAACTATAAAATTAGAGACAGCTTCTTTTTAATTTTTGCAATCTATTGTTTTCCAAGATGAAAACCACAAAGTGGTACACAGCAGCTCAGTTTATCTACTTCTATCTATTAAATCTGACAGAGCTTCAGCTGATAATATTATCTTAAATTTATATATAGCTTTTTTATTCTCAGGAATCCTCAAACAGATCACAAATGACTTACCAAAATGACACAAGTATGTGATGTCCTAAAAACACAGACGCTAACTACATGATTAACAGGATCTCACATTAGCTCTGCTCTACATGTATTATATGCTTCCTGGACCTTTGCTAGAAATACAAATAATCCTCTCAGATAATCTTAAAAATAACAGGATTCTGCAAAATCAAATTCAGTTTTCTGGGATGCTTGAAGATGATTCACAGTGAACCTCAATTCAGTGCCACTTTTCTCCTTAAAATACAGTTTCTCAAACTAAGATTTATCTTATCCTTCAGAAAAACAGACTTTTACCGAGTAATTTAAAAATGCTTTATATTTTGTGTGAGATAATGAAGAAACTTAAAGTAGTTGAATTGCAAAGAAACCCAAACAAATATATTTCACAATACAAGAGTATTCTTATTTAATTTTTCATTCTCCAATTATCAGTCTAGTTACATTCACCTACACTAAACTCCTCACACTGTTTTTAAAGCAACAGTAATATTTTCAAATGCTGTCAAGTTTGACAAGTCCAAACACTGTCTAAGCACAGCATTTCATGATTAGATACAGCACCCCTGTCACATTCAGTGACTGTGGTTGGAATGTGTCACTTAGGAGAGCATCTAATACATCAGATAATAAAATGCACAGAAAGAAAACTAAGCAAAGAATAGAAACCAGTAGAGAGAACAGATAGAAAAGCATTAAAGCGGCTATTAGAAAGAAGCATGTATGTGACAAAAAGTCCGAGATTTTTTTCTCTCTTACTCGGCTTTGTTTAACAGCGGCCCAGACATTTATAGCTCATTTAGACTCTTCATCTGTTACTGCAAGGTTTCTATAGACTGTAGTTAGGCTACAAGCAACTCAAGGTGACCCAGAGTATTTTAAGTGTCTCTACTTTTCAGTCACTGTGATGTCAAAGCACGTGGATCTCTCCAGAAGTGCAACTCAACTGCAAGGCAAATCTAGAAGGAAAACTCCTATCAGATACTACATGATCCATGAGTTCCTAACCTTTGCTCTTCCCAGTGCTCAAGTCTAGGCTATGACCCTCAGCGTGCACATGGACACAGAAACCCATAGGAAGGATTCCTGTTGCAAATGCTGTCTCCTTTTGTGTTTTCTTTGCTGTACATGGGAGATTACAGCTCTTTTACTATAGAATTTCTTGTCACTGGAAAACCAGTGTATTTTTCTGTATATTCAGCATGACCGATACTTTGATTTCTCTAATACATTTAGTCATTTGTAGAGTCTGAAGAGAATATATGGCATCATTAGTTTCACATTTCATTAATTTCTGGCTGAAATAATCGGCTTCTGCACAAATACAATGTTTCTGCAACCTAACACGATCTTCTTTCCTGTAGCTTTTTAAGTAAAGATATGCTGTTAATAATGTCAGCTTCAGTGCATTAACAACCCACTAAACTAAACCAAATTTAAATGAAGAATATTATTTTTCTGTCACTACAAAAGAACAGCTCTGTAACACATAATACTTTTCAGGATGGTGCAAACACAATATGTTCATAATTACAGTAATAGGGTACTATTTAAAAAGGTGTGAAAATAACATTTACAAATCTGGAAAAGCAATAATAAGTCATTTTGTACACTATGTAATGGTAAACAGAAAACAGAACAAGAGAATACATGGTGTCTTTCATCAGCTAACAGAATAACCAAGTTAATGTCTGCAGGAGTAACTCACTGCGGGAAAGGGAGGGAGAGAAAAGAGAGAAGGCCCTTATGGCTGGCTGTGCCAGTTTGGCCTGGTGAAGGTAGTACGGCCGTCTGCCAACAAGGCTTTATAGCGATATCTCTCTTTTCCTTCAGCCTCTCCCTCCAACCTCTATTTCTCCAGTGCTCTTTATCATTTAGTTTACGGACAGCAGCAGGACCAGCTACCCCCACATTTTTCATGTGGATTTAGTAAACCACATGAGTTGTGTGTTGATGCAACAGTATCTACAGGCACTGTGGCCAGTTGCCCACAGAAAATACTGATCAAGCACACAAGTTCTCCAGGCCAAATTAGCAACTCTCCTATAGGCCATCTTGCCATACCAAACACCTGGGTGTTTGTGATAATTGCAAGATTTCATTTATACTGTGCTATTTTAAGATAATCCATGCAGGAGAGATCACTGTGAATCAAATTGGCAGTAGGGGCTGCAGAAAGGCTGACAAGCTGTTGTGCATCTGGGAGAGCTCGTACACACAGGGGCCTCTATAAGCAAGGGTGTTGTAGATGCAACAAGAATTTTCTCCTATATAAGTAACTTAGAGAGTTGCTTATAATTTTTTACTATTATGACAAAAGTCCCCGTTTAATCAAAACTGAGAATTCTCATAGAAAATAAACATTTAGGAAGAAACCAAGGATGTAAATATTCAAAACTAATTAATTTTGAGCCTGTTTTATATCAAGGATTCAAGATATTTAAGAAAAACAGTAACAGAGTCCTACAATACTTATTAGATGATGAATATATCTGCTTTTGCCCAGAAAAACCTATATGACTAATTATGGCATAAATATTTCCTACGTACTTTGTTTTCTAGATTGACTCGGCACCCATGTCCACTTCCTATGTCTATTCACTGCATGAGCTTTACCTGTAGAAGTATTTTATTTATGCTAACATTAAAATAAAGAAAATATATATAGGAAAAATAAGGTATTTGAACTTCTTCTAAGTGTGTTTGAATATGCTTATAGTTTTTATGATTAGGGATTGTTTCACTATTTGGAATTTAATTTTAGACAACAGATTATGGCAGACTTTTATGAAAAGATCTTTCCAATCATACTTTTGTTAAATTTTTTAAGTGAGAAATTGTTCTCAGTTCTTTAGATATATTGTAATTTATCACCAAGAAGTTTACCTGAGTTTATTCTGTAGCTTCTAAAATGAAAGAATATCATTTAAGATTGTTTCTTGTATTGCTGTATCATAATATGTACTGTAAAGAATGACTTCATTTTCTTTCTTGGGGGTTGGTCTGTGATATAGCAAATATTTTCATAAAAGATTCCATACGATAGATGTTTTACCACTGTTTGTGTCCTCTAACTCCCAGGTTTTTTTCAAAAGTATTAGCAACAAAATTTAGCTTACGAATGTTCTAGCCCACATAAAGCTGTTCTCTTAGCTTTAAATTTAACCTTCTGCCATGCAATTCCCTGATCATAAAGCAGCAGTTTGTTCAGCTTCAGGTAGGCATTCATGCTATAGGACACAACATTCAAAGTGATCTATTTCATTCACAGATTTCAGACCCAGGAATGTTTATCACTGCTTAGGTTTGTAGATAGCACTTTACAGACAAATACAATGAACTGTCTGTGTACTCCTGCGCTTACTTGCTGTGGACCACATTCTAAAGAACAAAATTGAGAAATATACAGTTGGAGTTGTGTGTGATAAAGACTGTAGAATCTGGCTGAAAATTAATAATTTGGGGATATTTTTGAACAAATAAGATTAATATCTTATTTAACTTTAATTCCTTTTTCATTGTTCTGTCTTCATACAATATATCACTTGTTGAAGAAAATATCCACATATATTTTGAGTGCACCTGTTGTAGGTTTGGTGGGCGTTTTGCACTTTTGCAGAGAAGTTTGATGAAGGATGTGTGGAAGAAGATGTAGAAAAAGCATTTAATAGCTTGAGATGTGACTGAAAAGTAGCTGAACAGGTCATTAGCATTGAGACGGTATATTTAGCAGAGCTATTTAATCTTTCTCATGCTGAGTGTTCAGTGAGTGCAGAATGTGGAAAGCAGTAATGAATACTGATATGTGTTCCCTGTTAACAAATTATCTAAGAGAACATTACATGAGAGATGTTTCCATTGTAGCCAATGTCAGAAGTGTTTGTATCATCATTATGCAAAAGACATGACTTCATTTCTCTGCTGGCTCTGTACCATTGCTCAGTGGGGCTGATGAGTTTAATCCCCTTCCCAGAAGAGTTGATCGTGTGGAAGTCACATGGGCAGCAGGGACATCAACATATGACAGTGTCTCACAAGTGAGGGGCAGCCAGAGGGTACAGGACATGTGACATTGTGACATGAGTGACATGTGGCAAGGAATGGATTTACTAGCTCTGTTACATGCAATCAAGAACAGTTTGATACATGAATGAAGTGGAAATCCTGGAGATAAAAAACATGGGTGAGGATCACATGGCAGTGAAGCCAGACAACCCAGAAACTAGCTGACATATGAAATTAAGACTTCCCATGTCAAAATGCGAATTGCCCTAGAAGGCTTAGAAGTATAGATATTTCTAGGCAGAGAGGAATGTAATACTGCAAGCATAGTTTTCTTGTGAAGTTTGGCTTGTTATTAAGTATCTTAAATGGTATGTAAAGGAAGAGATCATAACTTTGGAGGTTCAGAAAGTGGTGAACAGGAAAGTAAACAAAAAATACTGGATTGTTTTGAAATGGATATCCTGCCCCTTTTGT